AGCTCCGTGCTCAACTGCAGTCAAAAAACGCAAATCACTGTTAGGCATTTTTAGAGGAGGAACAGAAAGCATAATTATTCCCCTATCTGTATCTATCATTTGTGCACACTTTGAATGCAGTACTGCTCGCCCTCATCTAAAAAGGAGTAGATTGAAACTGAAAAACATACAGAGAAGGGCAAGTACGATCGGAGATATGGAAAGGTTTCCACCTGAGTTGAGTTTTCCATGATAGAGAGCTACAAATTCACAATCAACATGACACAGACTGCTCATTGTTTCTTCCCACACGTACATAAAGTCATCAAATGAAGGCAGCAGGAACCAGGAGCCTTTTCTTTCTAACCAAAGAGCTGATATTCCTTTTGGCAGCTTCCTCCTTGCCAACAGATGCTGTGCATGCAAGGGTGTTATATTTTTGGAGACTGGAAAAGTAGTTGGACGAAAAGGATTTCTTTAGGGTTGCTAAGCTCATAAACACAAGTTCAATAAGTATGCTTTCAAAAAGTTTGTGTTTAGCCACACTTAGGTCAATCTGATGAATGAAAACATACTGGGAGTCTTAATTAAAGCTATTCCTACATTGAAACATGACCAGTTGAAATCAGGAAGGTTAGAAATCTGGCATATTCAAAGAACACTGCAGTAAGGTAAAAAATTCACATGTTGGCAGTTACAGAGAAAGAGGTAATTAATATAAGAATGGAATCAGGCCTATATAGTTCAGTGCTCAGTCACTGAGACCTCTTCCTATTATAATGAAGGCCATTTAATCTTCAGAAAGGCTTAGAAAGGCCTTTTTATCTTTAATTCTGGAAGCTTGTAAATTCATTGCATTTGTAAGGAACACTAAAGCCTGTTAACCTTTAAGGCAAAGGAATCGTCACTTTCGGTCACTTGGCCACACATGTCAACTACAGAATGAACAAAAAGTATATGATACATTATTCCTAATCAAATCAAAGGGTGCATCACACCATAAGCATCTCTCTCACTGACTTGATGCTGTATGTACTTGTTTACACTCTTGTGTGGAATGCAATCTCTCTGAGGCAACTCTTAGCAAAACGACAGACTTGTCCACACTTACAACTCACAGGTCCCATGTCAGCAATAAGTATACAAATTTTGTTCTTAACAGCTTTGTTCTTCTCATATAAGGGAATCTGGTGGAAGAAGAAATTCCCTGGTAGATAAGACAAACAGTCTGTTAACCTTTAGAATATACTGAAAGCCTTCCTCCTTGATAAAGCTTTTCCATCATGACATTTGTAATAACAACAATTTTTCAAAATTCTACAACCCTATCTCTTGCTTCAGGAAAATTTCCACATTAAAATAAAGAGAAGAGATGAGATTCCATGATTGCTATTGCACATTTAATCATTGGTGGCCATGTTCAAAACAATGATAGGATGCATGTCAAACTAATAACAGTTGATGATACAAAGGCAGCTACTGGGATAACTCACACGCTACGTTATGCGGTAAACTTAAAGTGATTCATGGATAATTTCTGAACTGTGAAAAAAATAAAATCATCAAACTCATACACGGTATTAATAATTCATTGTACTATGGCAAGACATTATTATAAGTTGGTGGCCTTCCTGTACCTATTTCCAGTAAGCATAAGCAAGAAATTCTGAACATAACTCGTGGAAGCTAAAAATAAACATAGAATTGTATATCCACTGCTGAAGTAAACTGTTTACTAAATATCTATTATTACATTATAACACATAATATGACAAACTGCCAGTTTGGCTTACATTACTGTACTTTTAAACAATAATCAAGAGTTGGCAGAGAGCTAGATAAATGCTCATTTACTTCATTTTGTATGAATCTGAATAAATAAATGTATGGCAGGTTGTCCTAATCTAACTTCTCTTGGCTGATACTGGATTGCTCCCAAAGAGAAATGAAGGTGCAGTGGGAAGGGTCTAGTCTGAACTATCTTTTATATAGAATATAGAAAAAATATTTATATAGAAAAAATGTTGTAACTTTGCACTGGATGCTGTGCGAAGTTACAAGACTGGACATATTGTTTAAATTATATGTTAGAGTGAGAAGCATGCTGTCATGGTTTATCCCCAGACGGTAACTAAGAACCACACAGCCGCTTGCTTGCCCCTTGAGCCATGCAGGTGGGATGTGGGAGACAATCGGAAAAAGACCCCTCATGGGTTGAGATAAAGCCAGTTTAATAGGACAGTAAAGGGAGAGGAAATAATAACAACAACAATATTATTGATAAAGGAATATACAAAATCAAGTGATGCACAATGCAACGATTGCTCACCACCCGGTGATCAATAGCCTGTCCCCAAGCAGCGATTTCCCCCTCAGCCAACTGCCCTCAGCTTATATACTGAGCATGATGCCTTATGCCATGAAATATCCCTTTGGCCAGTTTGGGTCAGCTGTCTTGGCTGGGTCCCCTTCCCAGCCTCTTAAGAAGCAGCTGGGAGAACAGGGGCAGTATGAGAAACTGAAAAAGTCCTGGGTTTAATACAAGCATTACCTGGCAACAACTAAAACATCAGTATGTTATCAACATTCTTCTCAGCACAAATCCAAAACAAAGCTTCATATTAGCTACTGTGAGGAAAATTAACTCTAGCCCAGCCAAAACCATCACACATGCCTTCTCCAGATTAAATTATGGTTAAATAATTTGTTGCAGTAAGTCCCTTAAATACATCACTATATTAATATGTCTGCAAGCTCTGGTCAATATAAAAGGTCACTTTGCATGCCAGTATTGCATTCTTCCCTACAAAACACTACATTTCCTGAGGTCCCCCTGCCTTCTTATCATTATATAGTTAAGGTTTTCAGTTGTAGGAAAAGTGAAACAGGTTTAAGGTTTCAGATTGTACATCAGCCTTTTAGTTTCTTCAAGGACTTGGGAAACAATCAAATAACTTTGTTACTGCCTTCATCACATGGCATTACTGAATCTGAAGGACTGATCCATCAATTAGCACTTCTTGAATAACAAACCAAAGTGTAACCTTAATTTAGACAGGTGAGATCTACTTTTAATGTGTATAATGTAGAGAAATGCAAGATAATCATTATTTTGGGGATTAGAGAGTCATTTGAATACTCCTTTTATAAAAATTTACACCGTTACAACAGATCTGCAAAAGCCATAAGAATGTAGAACTAAAAATCAAACTATATGTTTATTATGAGCCTTATGTTTTAATATAGTACTTCACTTTTGGTAATTTAATTATTTTATTTTTGCAAGTAAGGCCCCAAATGCTACTGCACTCAAGAAGTTAAACACTTAACATTTTTACTCCTTAAAAAGCGACATTTTATGACGTCCAGATATGTTTATTAATTAGTGATTATTAACACCCAGTAAACAACATCATGTCTTGTAAAAACACAATCTTTCTTCACAGCGTGAGGCTGAAATCTATTATTCACTGATTCCATATGCTGAAATACACTCAAATGATCACAAATGACCTTAAGCATTAGATAAATGTAAATGAGGACCGGGTAGAAAATGTGCTTTTGATTGATATCTAAAAGACCAGGTTTGAAGTCTTGACAAGGGATGAAATCTGAAATCTCATACAAAGTAGACAGCAAGTGGAAACCTACAAAATCCAAGCTTCTGGATGGACGTACCACACAGCCTCCCCAGCAGGGATGAGTGTCTGGGCTTGCTCACAAGAAGTGTTCAGCACATGGAACCTGGAAGGCTATTCCTGGGGGCCATGTGGCCTTTGTCTACTTGGCAGACACTTACTGGGATGCAGAGATATATCTCTGAAGTTATAGGCACGTACACCCTAATGAAGGCAGGATTTTTCTAACCCTAAGTGCTCCCTTAAAAGAATGGCTGCATAAGCATAGGATAAGTGATGTGAGTGATAGCCATTAAAATTGTATGGGTTCAACCCTCTATGTTAATAAGCTTATTCTGCTGTAACAGCTTACCTTTATCAGCCCTTTTTCAGCCTTACTTTTGTCACTTTGAGAAGGACTGAGAGCCCTTCTTCTGGAATGAGAATCATTAAAAAAAAAATTATTTAGATACACCATTACGAGTGCACTATTTGCTCTTAGGTAGCCATCTCTAAGCACACTCCAATTCATAGCCCTGTACCATAAATATGAATTACTTTACAATTTTCTTTTTAAATAGTAAGAGAGATGAACACACTTCAAATTTTCAGCTGCTTCCATCACTACTATACCTGGAGATGCCTCAGTGAAATAGATAAACAGGTAACATCAGTGTCACAGGGTGGGTCAGGGAGGGCTCTGGAGACCAAATTTGCTGAATCTCTACAAAGCTCACCCCCCAGTGCACACCTTCAGGGCTAACTCAGAGACAACAGAGCTCTGCTGCACTTCCAGACAAAAGTTGGATGCGCCCTGCACCTTCAGGACACAGACAATGGGAGTACAGAAGGGCCCCAGCACACTGTGCCTGGCTCCTGTGCTCCCCATCTGCCCTCGCAGCGACAACACATGGTACTGATCACACAGACAGGATAACCAAAAAAACCTTCCATGGATGCTCCGACAACATCTGCCTGAGGGGCAAACGGGATGTGTTGCCACTCTGACTTCTCTGAGCTCTTTAAAATTACACCTGCTAGTGATTTAGGTACATTCATTCTGAGCCTTCGTATTCAGTACAGTGGATAATGCTGACTCTCAAGCAGCCAAATTTCAACCACATCTTGAAGAGACATAATGTATGTTAAAAAAAATAAAAAGAAAAGAAAGGTTATGTCACAAAGATCAATCAGATTATATCTGCCATGTTAAAAAGCATTTAAAAATTTGTTTTAATACTTCAGAATTTCTGTCTTACATCACTTACCTACTTACATTGTATGTACATCTGTGTCAGCATCAGTAACATAGGTCACACGTTCACACTTGTGCATACATTTCACAATTACATTAAATACACAATTACATGCAAGCATCAGTAAAAGAGTTCAGTAGAATCTTACCAGCTTGACACTTTCTGAGCCTTAAAAACTCCCGCATTTTGGTTTCTTGTGATGATCTCGCTTACATCTGTAGCATACTTGTTAAGAATTATCTGTAAAACTAGAGCAGTAATAAAAATAATAAAAAATATTTTTTTCCATTGTTAATACCTTAATACTGCCTTTTATCAGTTTGGTCTTCTTTAATCTGTGCTAATAGTTTTTTCAGAAGCACAAATTTTACACTGCTACTCCAGCAGGTCAGCCATAAACCTATACAGCAACTTGGTTTTGCTGCCTACCTCGACTGACTGCATCGCTGGAGGACAGTCCTGAGGTTTTGGAGGCTTATGGGTTTTGAGTTTCTTCCCTGCCACAAGACGTTCGTTCCTGGCTCTGTCTGGGTGAAATCCACCACACAATAGGAGCACCTTAACCTATAGGCTCCAGAATTGCTAGTCCATTTGCTTTCTTGAGAATGGCTTGGAACCACCATAAAAGATAGTACAAAGCAATAAACGCCTTCTTTTCCTTACAGGCACTCCAACAGTGCCTCAGCCTCATGTTTCAGCTTCTTTCAGTGTGGAAGATCAGGTCACAAAATTGGGAAGCCATTCAGGCAGGCCAGTCCAAGGTGTGCCCAGTCATCTACGCCTGGAAACATGACCTTCCTCATCAATCCTGTGTGGTTAGTGAGAAGCCCTGGGAAGGAAAAGGTGTAGCAAGTAACCAAGGAACGATGAGAATACTAAATGGCACCCAATGTGAATCCATACATATTTGAGCGATTCACTCTCAAATATTAAATATTAACTTAAAGGGACAATTTTGATAAAGATGTCAATGATTGCTCTTTCTTATTTAAGGTACAGGAAATCTGATGCTCTTTAGGAGGATGTTTCTAGGGGCACAAAATATGTTGAATTCTTCTTTGAAAGGGCTCTTACAAGAAAAGTGAACACAGTGTCAGGCTAAGTTAAAATATCACTAATGTATCTTTTTATTTGCTTTGCTGAAATCACATAATTGTCCTCCCAATACAGTTGACTATTTAAGAGAAGTTATTTTAGAAAAGCCTCTATTCAGACAATAAGAAAAGACAAGACAACTGATATTTTGTGAAGCCAAAAACTAGAAATGGAATGACAGAAATCTGGTTTAAACAAACCTCTGTAGTTTGGACACGCCTTTTAAACCTTTTCCACAATATGCAATGAGAAATAGTAGTAAATGGTCTATGCCTGTGAAGCAAAAGGAAGGCATAAATAATTCCATAAGCTGAGTATGCTGGTTTTAAGTAGAGGCAGAAGTAACATTGTTATAAATTAGCTACACTGTGCTTAAATTATATAACTGAGCAAAACTATTAATAATTGTTGTAAACATGTTAACACTAGCTTTTTTTAAATAATTTATAAGCCCATGTCTTCAGGCATTCAGGCTGAACATGACCTTTCTAACCTAAATTTCCCAGGACTGCTGAAAGATCCATACACTATATTTTAATGGCCATTATAGTGCATTGCAACAATGCTTTGTATTATTGATGCTTTCAGACAGTAGTTCAAGTCACTAGTGCATGGTGTGAAACAGAGCTAAGGCAGAAGGTATACAGCCTCTCTGAAACAGGAGACAATTTTTACTAAAAATGAACCTCATCCTTGGAATTACACTTGTCTAACCAGAGTATAGATGCTTACAGTATTCTGGGGAAATAGAATTTGATGTCTGCGAATATGTCATAGATATTGCCTACACTGGAAAATTTTTATCCGAATGCAATATCACCCAAAATTACAAAGGAGGCTGAACCTGGTAACTTTGCCTAGATATATCTTTATTATTCACTTGAAATACCTACATTTTTCTTTTTAATACATTCTTTATTTAAATGATCCTAAAAGATCTTAGATAAAACACATTACACCAACAGCAAAGTTTTGTCTGAAGCTGCAAAACCAATAACATCTGTCTTTGTTTTACTAATTTTGCAATATAAATGACCTGTTAACCAATTAAAATCTGCCCAGGAGAAGCAAAAGGAGTGAGTTAGAGTGAAGTCTTAAATGAACTGGTAACTGAAACCATAATATCCTTTCAAAAACCACCATAAACCTCATGCATAAGACCATTGATTAATATAAAACATAGCTAAATATTTCACAGTGAAATGGTTAAAATCATAACAATAATTTGAAATTAACATATTCATAAATTGTTTTAACTTATAACATTTCAATAACATATCCAAACATAGATACTGAAAACATACATAGTGAATACTTCATGTGGCAGTGTGAAATGGAGAATAATATGAAGAATGTCAAAAATTAATAGAAAAATCAAATCCTCAAAAGCTTGAGACTTCAGAAAGCAAAGCTGTTAGTTATGCTCACTGAATAGCAATAACAACAACAAAACCAACAATAATTATGATGATGATGATAATACAAAGGCAGATTCTCAGATGCAATGCACTATTGCCAGGTCGATTTTCAATTACATTTCACTGATGTATTCATTTGTTTCTTAATGTGCTCATCTTGCCCATTAAGAATAATTAGCAGGCTTGCTTGGTGATTTCCTGGCTTCTGACAGTGATTTTTTTTTTCTTTTTGGTTGACAACCACTTCTACTTTTTGGAAAGTAATTTTTGGATATTAGAGTATGACTGGCATGTAATTTAAGCTTCCTAAGAAATTTAAAGGGAAGATGTAAACAGTAATTTTTAAACAAGATTATTTTAATCTACAATACCTACATAAAAAGCATAATACTAGGCTTCAACTATACCTTAAGAGCAGAATCTAGAAAACAGTATTTTATCCCACATTAATTTAATTTGGTATGCTAAAAAATTACAAAATACCATCAGCAATAATAAAATTTAGCAGAAATTCATCATTTGTAGTGTGCTGCACTTGGGGTCAAATACTATTTTCAATTACGTTAAAAATTGTTACTGATTTCAGTGAGTCTGGTGTAGCTGAAACAGATCTAAATTTAGCCTAAACTTCTGTTACAGCTAGTCACTATAGAAAAGAATGCAAAAGAATATTACCGTAAGACAGATCATAAAATTACTACTGAAGCCCATAAAACACATAAAATGCAACATAAATGTTATTATGTGCACTTTTAAGAATACATTCCACCTACACTGTAAAGTTCTTAGTCTGCTGCACTTTGGCACCCTGCTAATATTAAGCCCATTGTAAAATCCAACACAATAAAAGCACTTTGAATGCTGAGCCTTCAGAGCACCAAATGTTAAAAAAGAAAAATAAATTCCTGTTGGAGCCTTCCACCAATCGCTTCTCTGAAAGGGATTCACTGAGTGAATACAGATGAATACTTCTTGTAAGTCTTTTGGAAATAAAAGATATTTCTAAAACATAGTGTGAAAAACTAAGGTGTGCTAATTAGATGATATTAACAGTATCTTTTTCAGGAATGAAAGCACTTCAATTCGTTTAATTCCAAAGGCTGAGTGAATACTTTTAGCACTCACCAATTTTCCTTGCTACAGAAGACTTCTAAATTTCAAAAAAAAAGTTCAGGTATGTTTATGGAATCTGCTATGCAAGATATTTGCTGACTTGATGATTACTGAGCTCACCTGAAGCTTTCTGTGGGTAAAATGACCTTTTGTTAAATCCCTACGCTCCTATAAAACACCAGTTTGTTTTGTTAGGTTAGTTTTGAAATACTTCTTTTCTCTCACATTTTTCATCTTCATAATGACATAGAGGAAAGATTGGAAGGGGTGATGATGGTTAAAATACACAAAATAATGAATACTTCCACCTCAAGTTATGAGCGTAACAAACTAGAATTTAACAAAATAAGAATCCCTGGAACACAACTGAGAACTTGCATTTCCAAGAAAAAGGAGACTTTCATAAGGCTTCCTTCAAGTTTTAAAACATGTAAACAACTGCAGTTACCTCAGTTACCTCTGAGAAAGTCTTTTCACAGGCAGTAGCTAATATTATTGCACTGCAATGTCTACTGTTTTAACATCCATCAGCAATTGCAACTTTCTCAAACCACAAATAAGTTTAACTTAATTTTTTCACTAAGTACTCATTATGTTAGCTCTCAGATACTTACAAAACTCAAATCTAGAGAATTCTGACCACGCAGTGCCAAACCCTGAAAAACTAGCCTGCCTTAAAATGCAAATGGAAAGATTATCAAGGAACAAAAGCAAATAGATATTTTCCTTTTTTTCCCTCTTGATTTCTAAGGGCTATTAGTATTCACTGTATATATCTGTTCTTGTTCTGTGCTGATATTTAACGTGGCCACAAATTATGCTCACTCATTCTCTCGCTTAGCCAAAGTACAGTTCAATTTTATGAACTATGTGTTCATACTAGAATTGCTGTTCATAACAGCAATTTATTCTAATATGAGAAATATAATAAAATACTTTCTAAAAGGGACAGAGGAGTTTTGCAATCTTACATCAGGAGAAATAACGATAAATTTATAATTGATTAAGCTCACTAAATGGGTAATTTGTAAGCAGATATAACTTAGCAGCAAGGATACCATGCATTTCAATGTACACTGGAAAAACTATGACAAATACTGGGTGTGTATTAAAAAGGTTAGTATCTGAAAGTAAAAAATAAAACCAAAAAAATCTAGTTGTTGTGCAAAACGAGTATGTGAAGGGGAGCTGACGATTTGACTCACTGCTACACCTCCCGAAACATGCAGCATGCACGCAAGGAATCTTTCAGCCCTCAACCATAAGACAAATATTTACTACTGTACTTGCTCTATACCAACACGTACATTTTTAATTAAAGAAGAAAACGTGGCATTTATTGTGGGGGAAGCTGTAGCGCTGTTCTTCTCGTCTACATCCATTTTTTAATTACTTATGTGGGGACTTTTTCTTAATATACCCCATGCTGTCTGTCTTTATATCGATTGTTACTCAGCCAGTAAAAAGGAACGAGCACAACAAACCAGTTTTCTATCTGAATAAGGATACTTTTGATGGCCTTTTCATTTCCATCAGTTAACAGAACTTCTTTGACATCTGCAGAAATAGCAACCTGAAAAAAAGAGCACAGCAAACAATGAGCAAATATGCTTGTCTGTGTGGAAGTGAAGACAGGAGTGACAAGCCTTCAGTATCATGCTTCCTCACCTATTTCTCTGTAACAATCTTCAATCTTTTTTCATTTTATGTCTGCATTATTTTAATCATTCAATCAAATCAGTCAATACTTTTATCATTCCATTTGCGGGAGCCTCTATCTTGCTATCATTCTGTTCCGTAATTGCATTGTGACAGCGGATGATGGTATTCTGAGAGGCTTTCATTTGCGGGCTTCTGTTTATCTAGTAGAGCCATCATACAAGGCTGTCACTCTGCCTTTCAGCTTGCTTCTGTCTGACTGCCTGATGCCCTTCATATAACTTTGCATTGCAGGCAGATGGCTTTGTAAGGGTAATTTTTTTGTGAGCTTTGACATGCTCGCACATTGGGCTGTAACCTCGACACATTGTATAAGAGCGACAGGTTTGTCAAATGCCAATCAGTGTAACAATATGCTTTTATTTGTAGAGACATAAAAACTTGTCTAATGCACTGCACTGCTACATAATATCTCCTGAATACATGACTCAGAACCCAGAGAATGGTGAACGACTCTCCTGAATGGCCAATCTAATTCAAAAGAATCTAATTACCGAGAGCTCTGGATCATGTTTGTTGGTGTAATAATGCAGGCAAAACATTAGCAGCTATATCATGGTGCTCCAACTGTGATTCGCCAGGCTATTCCTGTATCTTAGCAAATGGGACTACAATCTGAAAAAAAAAAAAGCTTCAGCTATGGCAATGAAAGACAGACCGTACGTGGCCTGGAATGTCACAACAAGAGATATTGACTACACGGAGGTAAAATGTTTCTGCTCATCGAGGCAACCATAAAATCAATATGATACGAAAGCAAGTCAATCTAGAAGGTCTCTCAAGACTCTGCAGCTTGACCGCAGCTGAGGCTGTTGACAGTTCTCTGACCCAGCAGTTGGAGGCACTGGAACATTTTTCCTTTTGTTTCTTCCTCTGAATGGGATTGGAATTGAGAAAAGACCTACCATGAGCCCAGCCAAGCATGTCATGCCACCCCCTAGCTCACACACAGCAAGGTCCCTGAAAGAGAGAAAGGAAATGGTAGAACCCATACAAATTAGATGAAAATGGTCAGAGAGACATATATGTTACAAGAACAAATTGCCATCTGCAGTAAGAACTGAGCTACCAGGAAGTTGTAGAGACATGACTAGGCTACCTCATGTCGTTTTGCGTTTTAAAAATAATTATGAAATAGAAAAGTCACAAAGCAGGCAAATCAGTGGGGGTTCCCTCATTAGTGTTCAGTGCAACATTACCACCGCTGCGCTGAAAAATCTGAGAAGGTTCCCTTTTTTCCCTTGTCAATGGCTCTGTCTTTTAGAACTAAACTAGCTAGAGTAGCGAAAGATAATTGTTAGGAAAGGATAACAATGTTAATCCACATTCATTCTTGCAAAAACAGTTAGAGAAGTAAATGGGGAAATTAATATTATTTATATATCTCTCTCCTTATAGTTACGCCTAAAAACCTTTTTATATTAAAAAGGGGAAAGCTTTAAAACAAGCCATATACCACAAAACAATTACACATGAAGAAATCTGATCCTTCAATTAGCACTTAAAACTGCAAGTGACCTACAAACAATGCCGTTATGAACAACGATGGGAACAGCAAACAGTTAAGCCACGGAAAACGAAATGAAGTTAGTGTCAAGAGTCTAAACGGAGCCCAAGCAGAGGGCTGAATGCATGGTCTAAAAGGCTGCTTTTAACTTAGACCATACTGTGCTCTTATTAAGACGTGCATGTGAAATATAATTTGGGGCAGAGAGCGTGCCGGATGGGAGCTTGCCGGGGGAGCCATAAAGAATGTCCTCCAGAGCCATGGACTGCCGCGGGAGGGGAGGAGGGAGGGATGCTGACCCCGCACCGAAACTGCATGAAGCGGCGTCCAGGGCAAGGCAGAGCCTCGCTTTAGGAACACACTGCTTTATAGCTAAATTTGCCGCAACTGTTACAGCTGGCGGAATCATTTCCATTGAGACATTTTCGCCAGGCAGAAAACAGAATTTCCACTGAACAGGTTTGGGTTTTTTTGGTACACCTTATCTTCTCCCCTAAAAGACCAACCTTTGAAAACCTGGTTTTATGTGAGTGTATTACTTCCCTACTCACTTGACACTGACATCTAAGAAGAATATCTAGGATGCCGTATCAGTATCAATATACAGATGCTGCTATTTTGTTCACTGAGGCCATCGGACTAGGCTGTATGACTGTGTAATAATGCTCGCTGTCTGTCTGGGAGAGATTTATTTTTCTTTGACTCCATGAATTTTGTTTGCAGGAAGTCTTGTCCTATTTAAGGGAAATGAGACAAAAGAAAGACATAGTTCGGAGGAACAAGCTTCCATAAACCCAATAAGAATATACAACAGATGAGGGAAATCTGCAGTTTGTGGTTTAAATAGGAATATTATAGGGTTTTCATCACATAAGTTTCTAAATTTTCTAAACCATATATGACATACACATTAAAAGTATACACACATGGTTATATGTACAAGATTTACAAGGCATTTAATCCTTTATAAAAGTAATGCTTATTGAAATAAACACAGAAATTTTCCAGTTTGGGGGTTTTAGTACATTTTGAACCAAATTTGTATGTACTTAATATACATACATGTACTTACACACATATATACACACACATATTTATGCATATAAATAATTCATTTCAGCACAAAGTTCCCTTATTAGCAAATTTGTAGGATCGTATCTGTCTCTCAGGCAATATTTAGTGACATTCATCAATGAGAATTAAAATAAGAAACTCCAATCTGAGAGTGATGTTGAGAGGGCATAATCCTGAGAAACCAGGATATGAAACTGCCCATTTCCTCCATGGAAGTTTGACTGATTGCCGTCTGCAAGCATCCAGCTTTGCATACCCAAACTAGGAAAATTCCCTTCTAGTGAGCAGCACAGGGAGGTTTGCTGTGAAGAGCCTCAGAGAACAAGCAGAGAGTAGGAGCCACGCCACAGGGCTATGGGGGCAGCAGCAAAAGTCACACATTGCAGTGCCCAGCTAGACTCAGAGGAAGGAGCAGCAACTATCAGATTAGGTGTGTGAGCTGCCTCCTCTAACACGGTAGGCTTCATTCAGGTGGCGGCCAGAAATAGAAATGAGGCTTTACAACCCAGGGTATGCTTTGGTGCCAGGTCTTTCATTTCAAGTAGGAGTCCGAGTAAGCTGCAGGAACAAGCTTACAGCTTTGGTACAAGGAAGTTACAGCTTGGTCTTCCCTATTTTACCAACGCCATATGTACAGAGACTGAGGGATTTTGTATACTCCAAGCTGGTTTACTTTGCACCCTCATTCAGAATACAATTTCTGCCTTCAAATACATTGTTATAATGGCTTTTCTTGCACCACATTCATCCTATGCATAATGAAACTTCAAGGATTTCTAAGTGCAAGGCTCCATATACTCAAGGGGAAAGAGAGAAGATGCAGGATGGATTTTATTTTTAGGTGTTCCTATTGGAGCCTTGATAACAGTCTTACACAAGTTTAGAAAATATGAAAAATCCAAAAAACAAATAAAAGTTCAGGATGTCTCAAAATTATTTTGTAACATTAAAATCCAGGTGCAAATTCCTCCATCGCTATATGCAGTCATAATTATATATTTTATCAGGTAATATTTTGCTTGCTTTGCAACAGATGTCAGTTTAAAGAACGTCTTTTTTTTTTTTCCTGACCTTCACAATCAGGACTGATCGATTGGAGCTTCACTTTTGTTTCCCAAAAATCAAAGTGAAATAAAACGCCTTGAGTGGAAATCAAAAGTCTTTGACATATAGCAGAAAGCTTGCTGTGCAATATTAGTACCCAAAGGCAGCTCAGAATTCTTTGTTAAGAGCAACATGCTTTCACCTTGAACATTTTAAATTTAATCTGAAGACTTAAATCATAGCAATCTTTACCATGCAGATACAATAAAACTAGCAGATTGGAAAATATCTTTTTATGTTTAACTCTGTACCTGAACATTTCATTGTGCTTTAGGCAGTAGTAAGCCAGCACTTCTTCAGATGGCCAGAGACCTATAAGACAAAGATATTCACCTTAGAACAGATTTTTTTTTTTTTTGGTCTAAAATAATATTTGAATACATATTACCATTTGCAGCTCTCTACTAACTGCTCCATTTTCTAAATTTACCATAATACCATTCAGTAAAGAAACAAGTAAGACTTTAAATGGAAGACTTCTGATTTAGGCATTGGAACTGCATATGTCATAGATTTCATCCCAACTAATTTCCAGAAATCTACTTTATAGATATGTGCAAACACGCACAAACATACACATAAATCTATACATACACATACAAATGACTTTAAAAGTTACATAAAATTTAATTCTATGAAACTTCTCACATTTGGGCATTCACATGAACATCAAACTCTTTGGACTAGGACAGATGGGAGGACCCCCTTGCATCTACAGGCATCTAATTTCTTTCCAGTTTCTTTTTTTTTTTTTTTAGCTCCTTTTCTCTTAGGTTATGAAGGCCAGGCATCAGTCTGACTGTAAGGGACACTGACCAGCAGCACATGCTAAGGACAAGATCAGGGCAATAACGCAGCCTGCTTTTTAGTTGTGGCTGAAGAAGTTTCTGAGGAGGAGATGAGATAGAAGTGGTAAGTTCCATGGGTGACTACCAAAGGATTTTTCTAATTGTTCTGTGGACTACAGTAAGCTTTCCATAGCTGCAACATCCTGTAGCAGGAGGCACAACAGTTTTACCATGCTGTATAAAGAAACATCTCCACTCCCCTGTTCTGTACTTGCCTCCCTGTCATCTTCATTTAAAGCCCTCTGGTTCTTGTATAGGAAGGAACCGGAGCAATCATGGTTTTTTTCAGCTCGTCTGTACTATCCAGGACTTCCTAAGCTTTCATGATAAAACTTACACTGGACTTTGCCAACCTTGGCAAACACTTGGAGGCATCTGTGCAAATTCACCCCTTCATCACCAGTCACTCATGAAACTTGCTGTTACATCAGACCAGTTTCCCACCTCATTTGAACATCTAACGGAAGCGCCATAGCCCATGGAGAGAGCAGCAGCGATCCTGCGTGTCTTGCGCGCTCTGCTGCAGGCACCAGCCTCCATTGCTGGAGGGAGCCTGGGGAAAACAGACTCGTATTCAGGCACCTGGGTTAGGTTCCCAAAGTTAAGGAAGGATGAATCAAAGGCGTATGTGGCCAAATCATGGTTTTATCTACAGACACTTCACCAGTTTCAGTATAACTTAAAAACAGACATGTGGGAGTATCCTTCAGATAATTCTAAACAGGTAAACTGAATTCCATGCAGTTTACTATGTATGTGCATCCTTTAGACTATTTTAAATATTTCTTTTGTTCTCCAGACTTTAAAAATATCACAACATATTTAATAGAAGCAGAAGTTTGGGAAAAAAAACTGTCTTCCTTTTAAAGCACTTAGAGCCTGATTGTAACCATCAAGTATATAATTCTTCCTGTCCATCCAGTAAGTATTCTGGACTATCCTTACTCATCGTGGTAAATAATGGAAATACATAAATATATTGCCTGCATGTAGATCAAGCAAAAGCCTAGACAGAATTTGGCCAAAACTTTGCATATAACTTTCGTATGACAAAGACCCCAAAGGTAAAAAAGAACCAAGTGGCCATTTGTATGTATGACAAAACCACTGAAATGATATTGGTGTTTGCCCTGTCTATGACAGGTTAAGCTGATTAGGTGTTGGCGAATGTGCTATTTTGCTTAGACTTGCTAAGGGTTAAAGTAAAATATTCACACACATGACTACCCATTCTTCAGTGAAACATACACTAAGAATTGTACAGAATTTTCCATCTTGCTTTTGAGCATTTCAATGCTTTTGAGCAGTGAAATATGCTAAAATGACAGATTTTGCAATAAATATAATAACTGTTTAAATATTTTAGTGTATAATATAAAGAATGTTTCAGTTTGCAGTGACTGGTGTATACTCAAGCAATAAAAGTGCTTTTTTAATATTTAGTGAGGATACAGCTAATTTAATACCATTTACAATACTTGTATCTCACTACAAAAAACCCCACACACCCACAAACACAAAAAAACCTTTTATAGCCAACTTTTAGCCTCAGCTAGTTTTAAAAATACCTGTCAATTGTAGAAAAATCCTTCAACATCTGAATTTTCAGTACCCTCAGTCAAATGTCTTCCACTTTTCTACGGTTATTACTGAAAGGCATGTTGAACGGTGTCATTAAATTTTTTATGAGGGGTCACCGTTCTTTCCCCTGCTACCATTACAATGTTGATACGGGCTGAAACTGCAGGTATATCAGATATACCTCTGTGCTGAGAGAAGGGTAAAGCACCCTTGGAAAGACAATGCTCTTCTTCAGGCAGATGCACATGACTCTCTCCCCCCGCGCCGTTCCCTTCCCCCATAGGGAAGGGAAGTATCACCTTAGCAATGATGTAAGCGGCTGGCAGCTAAAGAAGCAGGAGTGAGGAGGTCTTTCATGAACACAGGTCTCAAGTGTGGAAGCACACAGTGCTTCCAGCTAAGCCAAGAAGCCAGAATACTTGCATTAATTTTAGTAAAAGGAAAAGCTTCTCGTGCTTGAACAGGTAGGTAAGCCTCTTTACCGTCGAAACAGGGATAAGCTTAAAGATCCGTGTGGAGGAGTTTGTGTTCTGTCTTCTTCCCCTTCACTCTGACCTACATTCACCAACACAATGACCTATATTTTGAAGTTGCAAGTATAAGATAGTTCTGCTTCTGTTAGAAAACATACAGCTGTGATGCAGAAATGCAGCAATTTCTGTGAGTTAACAACTACCACTAGGTTGTGAAAAGCATAATTTATTTCCTGCAAACACATACATATGGATATGGATTAAGTTTCCTGTGAGCACACTTAAAATAATTCTTTCATATTTAAAATGAAATTATTCTCATTTTGTATTATGAATTTGATTATAAATACATTACATTGGATGGGTACCTATTTGCATGTGCAATTACTTACACACGATAGTCAATTATTTACACATGTATAGGCAAAAGAATATCAAAAGGCCCCCAAATGGTGCTTGTATCGAAAAGGCTATAAATACACTGAAAGTCCTAGAGAGAGGGGCTAAAAATCTCACTGTGCAAGGAAACGGGGAGAGATAAGAGTTTACTTTTGCAAAAAATAAATATTTTGCGACATTTACTAGAGGTTTTAAAACTTTAGCAACTTGAGAACTACAACGCAAAAACAGAAAACAGAGAAATTCCAATGCCAGAAAACATTGTAATTTCTACTGACACAAGTAATAATTAAAAAAACCCCATTGTGTTGGTGTTTAAAGGACAGCCTCAAGAAGGACTGTGGTTTGGCATATCTGAAGATGTGGGAGAAAGACAGCGCTCACAGAGCAACGCCTTCTGCATTTCAGCTCCTGGCAGGTATCCTTTCACCATTAGGATGGAGTAGGAGATCAACAACAAACGTGCCATAAGAGCGAAGGGCTGTCTTCCAGACAGTGTCATCATACTACAGTAGTAGGCGTAGTAAATAATACAAAGGTGGATGGAGAAATGCTGTATGTGCAGGGACATACATAATGTAGGCATTTCTACAGCTTTTATCATCACATTGCAAAATCTCACCACAGTAATGGAGACTTCCTCCCAAACACTGATGACATCATGAATTTCTATTGTCCCAGTTTTGCACATCAGGAACCTAACGAGGAGGCAGAGACAGATTAAGCTACTTAAGCACACAGAATGAAATTACGGGAAGGCCAAGAAAAAAACCTGAGTCATCCTAACACCTTGAGGTATGAGGTAACCAAAAAAGGCATCCAAACTTTTCCTTTAGAGGAACACCACTAACAAAAATCACAATTATGCTAAGAACACATAAATTAAATTGGTTTTATTACTCTCATAGTTCTTGCTAATGGAAAGCACCAGGTCAAAGTTCAACCCATGTGGACTAAATCATGTCGTCAACTTTCTGAGGATGTTTTGTTTTAACCACTAGTCCAAAGCAACATAAAACTTTTTTTTTCTTCTGCACTGCATCTAAAAATGTTGAATCCTGTGATATTACAGACAATTTTCTGCTACAAATAAATTACCCAGTATTTTATATAAAATTTAAAAATGATTGTTTCTCATCTGTGTCTTCTTACCACATATTCTAAAGAATGCTGTCATGCATTTGGATAACAAATACTGAGATCTGATCTGAAGTTCTTAAAGAACAGCAAGTTATTAGAAAATTCTCAAGGTAGAATGCTGAGATGTTTTTTTGAAGAAGACATTTCATTATTGGAGCCATTATGTGTGCACACTGCTCCATAGGTACAAAGAAGTCACAGTAGCTACCGATTAACTGGGGCAATGCAAGATTAGTGGAGCTCTGCTGTACTGCCTGCCAATGCTACGCACGGCAAACAAAGGTGCAACTGGAGGTGACAGGTGAACTATCCCTTGAAGCTCTGAGTAGGAGGTATAAAGCTGTCCTACAGCTTCTTCTCTTAACGCTAAGAGATTAAGTTCTGTTCCAAGCCAAGCCAAATGGAAAGTTCTGTCACTTTTTCCTAGCACTTCACATAGCCACATATGCAGATGTCTGACCTCAAAACTCAAATCTTGTCTTTTAATGCTCTATTAAACTATGAGATGTCTTCCTATTCATTTGTAGTTTCAAGTAAATGTTGCACAAATCCTATCTTAACCCTCAAAAGCAAAGACAATTTAAATTTGAAAAGTCAGTCATTTTCCCCAGATGAATATACTCAAAAATACATTTTATTTCAGTATGTCCCTACTGTGGACTACAAAAAATTACCTTATTTGCTTTAATAAGCATCAAAGCATGAGGAAAAAAAGCATTATGGGTAAAGACCTGAATAAAGTCTCAAATGAAGTACCAATAATTGCACTGAGCAATGATGAATTGTTTTCTGACCCTATGAAATGTAGTTTTTATCCTTCCTGACACCAAGACACGTTGGTGGAGAGCAGAAAAAGCTTAGGCACCACAAT